TTTATGTGTATGACTGTGCCTGTGTCATGTAATGCATGCAAAGGCCAGAAGAGGGCATTGGATCTTTTGGAACTGGAGTTATAGATGGTTGTGGGCTGCCACGTGGGTGCTGGGAACAGAACCTAGGTAAGAACAGCAAGTACTTTTAACCACTGAGCCAGGCATGGTGCGGCGCAATCCTATAATCCCAACACTCAGGAGTCAAAGGAAGGAGGATCATGAGTTCAGACCCTGCTTTGAAGAAACAGAAAATGAAACAAGAAGAAAGCAACAAAGACCTACGGAAAACTTTTTTCTTTTTTCTTTTTTTTTTTTTTGCTTGGTTTGAAGAATGAACAAAAAGAATTCTGGCCTGACAAGGATCTGTGACAGGCCTGTTTGTTCAGATTCTCTGCATTTCTGAATCTTGACTCCTTTTCTTTCAGAATAGGGCTGGACATCTGTCACGTGAATGTCTTCAGGGGAGAAGGAGGGAGAATCTTTTGGCCTCAGGGGAGAGAGGCAAAAGGTCAGGGCAACCTCGAACTCTGAGATACCATGACTATCACTATCACAGTCTAGGCTCTGTACCTTCCTTGCTTCTCCCCTCTTTGCTACACTCACTGCTGACTGGGCCAAAGAGAGTTCTAGTTTAGTTGGCCTTCAGTAGTGCCTGCCTTCCTGTGTGGAACCAGAATGAAGTCGATTATAGGTTGAGATCAAGTCCACACACCTCAAGGTAGTTGTTTGTATTTAAGTTGAGGTACCCAGGAAGCTCCCTCTCAAAATGTAATTTACTTGAACATCAAGAGGTGACATTACTATCAAAGGAGGTAAGGTGTGTTTTCTGTTTGGCTGAGCCAGCCAAGACTGACCTTGAACTACTGCCTCTGCTTCCTGAGTGCTGAGATTACACCACACCTGGAAGGCAGTAAGATTTTACAAAGCTTTTGGCAAATAAGCCTTCAAGGGAAGTAATTAAGAGCTAATATAGGGGGAAGGTGTTAGAGAGATGGCTCAGTGGTTAAGAGCACTTACTGCTTTTGTAAAGGACCTGGGTTGGGTTCTCAGCATTCACATGGCACTTACAACCTTCTGGAACTCCAGTTCCAGGAGATCCAATTTCCCTTTTCTGGCCTCTGTGGACACCAAGCATGCATGTGTTGCACACACATACATGCAGGCAAACACTCATGCACATAAAATAAATAAATCTTTAAAAAAAAGAACTGGGGCTGGAGAGATGGCTCAGTGGTTAAGAGCACCGGCTGATCTTACAGAGGAGCCAGGTTCAATTCCCAGCACCCACATGGCAGCTAACAACTGTCAGTAACTCCAGTTGCAGGGGAATCTGGTGCCTTCTTCTGACCTCCACAGGCATTGCACAACATAGGTGTACTTACACATGTAGGCAATTCGGTCATACACATAAAATAAAAATAAATAAATAAAATATTTTTAAAAAAAGAACCAATATGGAGAAGGCCAGCTTTGTTGAGACTCTGTCTCAAACCCCACTGACAGAGAAAGAGAGTGTGTGAGAGAGAAAGAAAATAGTATTTGCATTAAACTCTAAGTTGAATAAAAGGGCTTAATTTTGTAAAAGTTGAAGAGTGGTAGAATAATTACCTCAAATATACCACTTTAGCATAAGGATTATTTTGACACCGGGCATGGTGGTGCACATCTTTAATCCTAGCTCTTGGGAGGCAGAGGCAGGCGGATCTCTGTGAGTTTGAGGCCAGCCTGGAATTACATGGCGAGTTCATCAGAAGGTGCTTGATACTCCCCCTTCTTCCTGAAAGGAAGAGATAACACGCCTGTACTGGGGCAGAGGCAGCAGTCTTATCACCAGGGACAGGAATCAAGGCCGAAAGAAATCTGCACAAAAACCAGCCTTGGAAACTAACCCTTATTTTCAGCCACGTTCCCACAGTTAGCTCCCCCAGTCCAAGCCCCCTTGCCTGGTCACATTTTCACAATTCACTTGGTGAAACTTTGCCTAATTCTGTATTCTACTCCTTACTGGTTATTTTGGCCCTTCGATTCCTTGTGAGGGCTCCTGTGTCATTTAAGTTGTATTAAGTAGCTTTGTATGTTGTGCTTTGTCTTAGGTCAATTTGATTTTCAGGCCCAGCTGAAGTTCCTAGGGGAATAGAAAGTAACAATTTTGTCTCCTCTATAGAGTGAAAAATTTCCTCTGGACTAATCTATTAATTGAATTAGTCCCAGGCAAATATCAACAGGATTATCTTTGTTTTGGACTTGGCAGAAATGGCAGTAAGATGGATTTAGAGGGCTGTGTGTGGTGTCATAAGTCTATAATCTCAGTACTTAGGAGAATGAAGGTGCAGGCGGGAGGATGGTGAGCTTGCCTCCAGTCTGGGATACATTATGAAGACCCTATCTCAGAAAACAAAATAAAACAAATAGCAAAATGGCTCAAAGGATTGAATCTGAACTATAAACACTGGAGAAAGGAAAATTTAAAAATAAGTAACAATTAAAAATAAGGGGCCAAGGGTTGGGGAGATAATGTAGTCAGTAGTAAAGTGTTTACTGAACAAGCATGAGGAACTGAGTTCAAACCCCAGAGCCCACATTAAAACAAACAAACAAACAAAAAAAAACGTCAGGCATAGTGTTCATCCCAACACTGAGGAGGCAGAGACAGGTAGATTTCTGGGGCTCACTGGCTAGCCAGCCTAGCCTACTTAGGGAGCTCCACACCAGTCAGAGACCCTATCTCAAAAAAACAAATGGAAAGCTCTGGAGGAATAACACCTGAGGATATTCTCTGGTCACCCGTCTCATGCACACACACATAAGCACATGCCCCTGTAGGCATACACATGCACACACACACAAATTTAAAAAATAATAATAAAATAAGGAGATGGGATCTTAGATATTAAGATGTATTCTAAAAGTCATGAAAAATCTTCAGAGCCTTCCGAATAGCGCCAGTCAATGGGGGTGGGGAGCAGGGCTTTTCTTCTGTCAACTTCAGGTAGAATACTCAGGCTAAGTTTTCCTATGCCACCTTGCCCATTCCCAACCATGCTAACTGAACAGAAGGTCTTAGACAGGAAGGCAGCATAGAAGTAGCTCTCCCCATTGTTCAGGAATGGTTCCCATGTTGAGCTGTTCTCTTTCCTACTGGCTGTTTCTCTATCCCAAATCCAAACCAGGAATTTAGAGGACAGAGAACCGTTAGGATCAAGATGCTTAAGGGGCTGGAAATATAGCTCAGTTGGTACAGTGCTTGTCTAGCATACATGAAGCCCTGGGTTCATTCTCTAGCACCCTATAAACCAGCCATGATGGTGCATGCCTATAATTCCAGCACTTGGGAAATGGAGGCAGGAGGATCAGAAGTTCAAAGTCATTCTCTGCTACACAAAGAATTTGAGGCCAGTCTGGAATACATGAGACCCTCTCTCTCTTTTTCTTCTTAGAAAAAGGCTGCATTGGTGGGAACTGGATGTGGTGTTTCTCTGGGTGTTGGTGACTTGCCCTCCCTCATTCCCCTCCCCAGATGGAGAGTAAAGACTATTCCAGAAAACAGTGGGGAGTCCAGCAATGAAGACATTTTTTATTTCCCCATGCTTTCCTTGCAGTGCTAGACTCCTTTCCCACAGTGGACACCTGTTTCCCTTGCTTCTCTGTAAATTTGCTTTAGGGGAAAATGTATGGGGATTGCTGAGGTTTTTCTCCCTTGCAGAAGCTTCTCTTTGTTTTGCCAAACCCAGGCCACTTGAAGCAAATTTTTTTTTTTTTTTCTCCTCTGGGAGCAGAGATCTTGCTGGACCTGAGATAGGTTTTTACTCCTTCCCAGCCTCTGACTTTGGGCTGGCAGCCCTTGTCTTAGATTGAAGGGTCTTGGGAGAGAAAATAAAGCAGACATGCACATCCAGTGGGAGCCCAGGTTGGGTCTGGTATGTTGACCCCAGCTGAGGCCCATCAGTCTTTACTACAGACAGAACTGCTGTTTATTTTACTACTGAGGCAGGAACTGAAATCCAAGCTCTTACAGTGGGCAGTTGGTGCTAGGGCTGGAGCTCAGGGCCCATCCGGCTCTCAATGGGTCATCACACTGGCCCAGACTGGCTTCCCAGGAGTTGGAGGGCTGGGGGCTGCAGAGGCCTAACATGGCCCTTCCCCCAGCACTCCTCCTCCGCCTGCTGCATTGCACCACTGATTTAGTGAAGACATCATCCTCACCCCCTTCTGAGAGCTACTGGCTGCTCTGCTCAGACAATTACAGTGGCTGCTGCAGAGAAGTGCTCATCCCCACCGACATATGGGTTTTTAAAGTGATAAATTGCATTAGCAAATTTCTTATTAGCCCTGCTGTCAGGAGGGAGCTTCTGCCACATTAGCTTGCTGAAGCTGATGCATAGCTTCCTGGACATTAATTACCATGCCAAGGGCTAAAGGGACTCAGGGGCTGGTGGGTGGATGTGTGGACGTCCCTATCCTCTAGCCCACCTTCATGGGTGGGAAGTCTGGGAAGACTGGACTTGGTGGCCCTTGAACTGTCTTAGATCTAGTTCTCCAGTGGCTCTAGACCTTGGGCTCCAAATTTTCATGGATAGGACACAGGATGCCCAGAGACCATCTGGGTTGCTTGGAGCTGGGCTCTCTCTCGGGGCTTCTAGGATCTGGAAGCCTGGAATCTGTATAGCATCTCATATGGAGCTGTGTTTTCAAGGCAGAGCCTAGGCTGGGGCCTAGAAAGGTATTTTGACCTCCCCTTGGGGTTCCAGGCCAGTGATTCTTCTCATTCCTTCTCCCTCCTCTCCCTGAAGGTGACATCACGTCTTCTGCTTCAGTCTTCTCTTGGTGGCTATCCAAGGAACTGTGTATTCAGGATGTTCAACCCTGATTTCCACTCAGGCCTCCCACTTCTATGAGAATTGCGTAAAATGCAAATATGTTGGAGAGCAAAAAATAAGAGGAAACACTTTCAATTTCTCATTTTGCTTACTGTTCCAAACTAATAAACATCTCCAGGGGCTCTGGCTCTTTTGATAATCAGACAAAAGAAACAGTCTCTTTTCTTCAGGAAAAACATGCAGCTGGTCCTTGGGAAATGACCTTACCACAGCCCCCAGCCGCAGGAAGCAAAATGACTCTCTTCTACATCAGCAGCACCAGTTCCCCAGGTAACCTAGGGCACAGTCTGGGAGGAGGCCACCAGACATAATTACATCATTTCTTGGGTTACATGACAAAGCAGAGGAATGGGCTCAGAGCTGCAGTGACTTTGTGGTCAGGTCTGCATCACCCACTCATTCTGAGAAACCAGAGAGAGCCTGGGGCCTAGAGGCTCCCGTAGTCACATCTGGTATGCTCCCGCAGAGAAGACAGGTGACTGAGGAGGAGGGGGCAGAGACTGCAGGGGAGAAAGAGATTTGGCAGTGGGTGTCGGGGGAGGGGTGTGTGTGTGTGTGTGTGTGTGTGTGTGGAAAGGCAGGGAGAGAGGGTGGGGAAGAACTCTGAATTCCTCATTATGCATCCCAGGGCTGCCTGAGATGGAATCTGAAAAATCTGAGGATGAATTTACACTCTTTCACACATGTGGCCTCAGATTCCATATTGAGCCTTGGATAGGCTCGATCGCTGCTCTGTGAACTCTCCCTTCTTGCCACTTCTCAGAAGTCTCACCAAATTATTCTCCAGGTCTGCAAGTTGTCACCATGACTGCCATCCTGGGTTCTTTTGGGGAAGGAACCGATCACCACCAGTCCAACAGGATTCCTTCCTTCTCTCTGTCTTGATTTTGCCTGGGGTCCCCAGGCAGCCTTTAGATTGCAACCTTTCCAGGCTCATTCTCACCTGGCCCTCCCCTACTCTCAAGGTGGGTGCAGTCATGTGGCTAGGCTCCTGCTCTAAGTCTAGTCCAGCCTTTGCTAGTTTTGTCTGTGGTTGATACGAGAATATTGAGGTGTCTTTGAGAGTGACAGAGCCTTTCTCAGCTCCATTGTGCTTAGCTTAAGAAGCTAGGGTCCCAGAAACTCAACAGCCACCAAAGCTACCTCAAACTAGAGGCTTTTGGGTTCTTGTCTCACAAATTCAAACAATGAAATTCACAGACCATAGAGGATGAATTTTAGAAAGTATTCTATTATAGGGAGTTTAGGAGAGAGACAGCAGAGCTCCTGTACAGCAAGAGGGGTCCTCAGGAATGGAATTCCGTTGAGGTGCAGTGGAGGGAGGAGGGGAGGGGCACACGAGCTGGTCAGTCTAGTTCTCATTCCAGATGTCCAGGTCGAGGTTCTGCTCATATCCCTAGCAGATCTCCCAGGAACAGGGTACTACTTCAGGGAAAAGAGATAAAGAAAACAACAACAACAAAACCAGACCCCCTTATTGGCATCCCTAGCCTCTAGCTATGACAAAATGAAGAGATCTCTGGATTAGATAGTTCTGATTCTCTGGCCTCAGGAAGGGGCAAGTGTACTGCCAGAGCCAAGGAAATTTCTAGCCCTTAACTGAGGAAAAAACTGGTCACTTTTCTTTTGGGGTCTTCAAACTGCCAATTTCTACCTCCTGTTCTCGTCAGGGTGGGCTCCACACATCTCACCACTTACCTTCCCCTTTGAGGATGTGGCTAGGAGCCAGCAGCTCAGCCTCAGTCCTGATGTTTGGCTCACTTTCTAAGACTCCACTCCTTAGGTATTGTAGTCCATACCTCAGCCCTCTCTGGTTCTTCAGCTCTGTGACCAGAAGCTGGGACATGGAACCAGCTCCAGCTTCCCCCTGCTCCTCCCACTGAAAAGGTTGGCAGCTCCAAACAGGAAGGAGCCAAGTGTGGTGGTGCATGTCTGTAATTCCAGTACTTAGGAGGCTGAAGCAGGATTGTGAATTTGAGGCCAGCCTGGGCTACATAGTAAGACTTTGTCTCAAAAATCAAACCAAACTAAACTAAACTAAAAAAAAAAAAAACACCCCACAAAGAACCTTAGCTATAAACTGAGGAAGAAAGATCACACACAAGCTGGTCTCTTTTCTCTGAGGACTCATCAGGCTTGGGTTTCTATATCGGTATATCTTCTTCCTGCCCATGAGAACTGACTAAAAGGTGACCTTAAACAGTAGAGTGGTTCAGAGGCTGAGAAGGGAAAGGAAGTCTATAATGACTTATGAGGGAAAGGAACCCATGCTAAGAGTTCTCTAAACATCTGCCCTCTGATCAGCATGGCCCTAGTACTTCCTCCTCTCCAAGGCTGGGCCCTAGGGCAGCTCCCTCTGGTGGTCCCATCCTGTGCTCTTCACTGACTCTGTCCCTGTTAGAAACATCATGGACTCTGTCTTGGTGGGTGTGGGATGGTACAACCTCCAGTTGAGGAAGGAAGGCAGCAGGGAATATGGTTCTCTAAGAACTTAACTATCCTTCAGGAAAGGGTTTGAAATGAAGAAATTGGATATCCTCCAGCTCCCTGTTCTAAAGCTTCTGTGCCTCTACCAACTCTAACTCCAGTGGAGCAGAAACAGGAATTCAGGGAAGTGATCATGAAAACCCATGCACACATGCCCAAAGTCTGGTTGGTTCCCAAATCCTGCTCTGTCTACTGTATCAGGCTTCCTCTAGACACCTGGGTCCTTTCCAAGGGTGGCCGAACTTCTTGCTCCTGGTGACAATGCTCAGACACACATATCTGCTTGACGAGGCTTGGGGGCTTCATCTTTGATGACAAAGGAAAAAAATTGGCATTCAAAGACAAAGACATGTGTGCTTCAGTCTAGAATAGAGCTTTCCCTGCTCCCCAGGGACAGCACCAGCTCTGTCCAAATGACAGGCTGGAGAGCCACCCCTCTGTACAGCAAGATCTCTTCTGGAGTTGCCAGACACCAGGTTCTTTGAGTGTTTCTTCCAATCCTAGGAAACACACTGGGGTTTCTGCCTCCTTGGTTTTCCCATCCTTTCATAGCAACCCAATAGCCCAAACTCTCAGGCCACTGCCCTCCCTGGCCTCCTTTACTCCAGGGAGAGTGAGGAGGACCCAGACCTCCATTCTATGCCACAGAAAGTGCAATGTCATCTCAATGCTATCGATTCTCTGAGTAGCTGAAGCTTGACTGCTATAGCCCAGCCCTCACCCCAAGCCAGCTCTAGGACTGTCATTCAGTACATCGAGAATATATTCAGTCGTCCAGCACCCCTAAAGGCTAGAGAGAGAATAGGAGTGGGGGGTGGGGCCATGTCTTCAGGAGCTCACAGGAAAGCTGGGGAGAGTTAGGTGAGGCCCAGCATGAGTACCAACAAGATCTAGGAATTGGCTGAAGGCCGTCCTAAAAAACTCCTTGAAGGCCCAATCTGTAGGGGAGACTCTAGGGCTGAGATGGGGACATCTTGAGCTGCACACTAAATGAGACCCAATCTGAGCCTGTGGGTCTTCCTGTCCTCCTCCAGCCTTCCCCATCCCTTCCTAGCTCTCCCCATCCCTCTCTGTTCCTGATAGCCTGCACTTCTGCCTTCTTGAATCCCCTCGCTACATTCTGCCTTAGGCTTTGCTGAAACACCCTCTTACTTCTGCCTGCCAGTCTTGATCCTTCAGATCTCTGCTCAAAGTTCATCTCTTCATGGAGGCTTTCCCTAATAGGCAGTTCCCTCCCCAGATAGGCAGTCTGCCCTTCCCCACTGCCGTTGTCCCATTTCTGTGATATTTATTTATTTATTTATTTATTCATTCATTCACTCATTCATTCATTTTGATGCTAGGGAATGAACCCAAGGCCTCGTGGGTATTAGGCAAGCATTCTAGCACTAAGCTACACTTGTACCGTGTGTCCTGTGTTTTCTTCTTATCACAGCACTTATCACTATTGGCAAGCTCTGTTATTTTCATTTATTTACTAGATTACTGTAATGTCTGTCTCCCCTACTACTCTCTCTTCACTACTCCATGACAGCAGCCTCTGTCCCATTGTTTGCTGTCTCCTCAAGGCCCACAATGGTGCCTGGCTAACAGTAAAGGTGCACCAGCCTTGTTGAGATGAGTGGTTAGGATTTGGAGAGGAGGCCCAGATCAGAGAGGCCACTGTGGTAGAAAGAGATGACATTAGACATTACCCTTTTTACTACTCTTTAGAGACGTTTCAAAGCCAAGTGGGTAAGTCTGCCTTTGTTATTCCTGGAGCCTTTCGGGCTCCCTTTGTACCTTCACTGTTCCAGTCTTTCCAAGTTGCAGACAGTTCTCCATGATCCCGAGTTCCTGCAACAATATTCTTTTGCACTCCTTCCCACCCAGAAGGCCTTTGTCTATGCAATTAGGAGCTCTACTACCTCCTTGGTATTTGCTCCACTAGAGGAGAAATGAGCTCCCACCACAGTCCTAGTCTTCCTCACTTGGTGTGTGGTAGCAGCTTCCCTTCCTTCTCTGTCTGGGGCTGCATCAGCGTAAGGCATCTCTGAAGCTCAGGCCCAGGTAGCTGGATCAGACCCTGGTCTCCACAGTGCTTTGTGGTCCTCGTGGTTGGAGATTCCTAAGCAAGTCTGTTTTCCTAAGCAGTCTTACAAGGAAGAGACCCCTGTGGCTCCTTTGTACTTAACATTGTACTTAATGTTGGCTCTTAATAAGTATGAATAATGTGTCTGCTGAGTAACTAAAATGGAGATCTGGCTGGGTTGGCGGGGGAGGGTTGTTCATCTTCCCAGATCCAGAGCACAGACACAGGTTGACCTTGCTGGGAAAAGGAGGTTGTCACCTGTACACCCTCTCATGACCAAGAAACCAGTAGTGTGTGTTTATGTGTGTGTGTGTGTGTGTGTGTGTGTGTGTGTGTGTGTTGGGGGATGACAGGGGCTTTTTTCTGTTCCTGATCAGCCATCTGGGTATACTGGCCATGAAATTAGAATCCACATCCCAAGCACCACTACCAGATCCAATTTTCCATCAATGAAATATTCAGTGGCTCTGTAGCCCATCAGCTCTATCTGGAAGGGAGGGGTTCCTCTTGCTTTTCCTAGCACAAGTAATCCCTTAGTCTCCTGGCCAGGCCTTTTGCTGTCCTACCTCTGAGCCTTTGATAGCACAATGTGCCCCCTCATCCACCAAGTCAGAAGTCAGAATGCCTTTCCCTTTCTTTCCACTATATAGCTCCACCATACTCCTCTCCCCAGGGCCCTGACACTCACCTGGATAACAAACCCACACTTCCC